CCATCCCGAGCCCGGCCACCACGAGCACAAGCGTGAAGCTCCTCGCCATCCTGAGCCAGGCCACCACGGTGAACAGGGCGGGCCTCACCAGAAGCATCATCGTCAGCATCATCATCATCATGCGCCCGCACAATAAATCAAATGCATGTGGCGTATTCCGATCATGTGCCTGAGGGTGAGCTACTAAACGTAGTCAGCAATAAAGCAATAGTTTAAAAATGAAAAAATGAAAAACGATTTCTTTTTAGTGTCCCTGCGACCTCCTTAATTATGACGGTGTGTTAACAGTCAAGCGTCACTGGAAATGCTTGAGTGACGTGTCTCGTCTAAAAAGAGTGATGGAATTGCTTGTTGCCCAAATTAAGCGATGTGTGTATGTGAATATCGATCCAGGTGGTGCTGTTTTTGGTTCATCGTTCCTTTTGATGACGGCCGTCATTTATATGGCCGTGTTTCAAAATTATCGCGTAGCTCTATTTGATTTTGGAAGCAATGTGATGCTGCTCCAAGGGCCATGCGGGTGACTTCTGCATTTTCAGTAACAGTAATACCCACGTCAGTGTTGACGTACAGGTTTTCGGTCCGGCGTTACCGCCCTACTGGCAGGTACTGTCCACCAGGGCACATTGCAGAGCAAGTATGCTGATCCTGGTTTCAAGAAAACCCCACGTCCTATCATGATGGCAGCTATATGGCCGCTAAAGATTTTCGTTCCGAGGAAAAAGGATTGTCTAGCGATAGAATAATTTTGCTCATTTCGTATATCGCACCGATATTCCGTATCTTTTTTTCTACTGGTTATCATTCCACTTATTGTGATGAGAGTAGTCACCCGAAAGAACGTGCGTCAATTGCCGCAATTGCTCGCAAACCGCCTGATAGGTAGGCAACACATCGCCTGTAGTGCATGCGTGTACCGCTGGGCGGACTACCCTAAGTCTCGCAGGCGCCGAGATCCTCCTGTAATTTATCGAATGCTTATGAGAAAAAACGGACGTTTCAAGTCGTTTCTCAAGATCTCCGGTGTCAGTGTCGCCCAAAAAGTGACTCGGCGCAGGTAAAGGTAGGCTTTAGTGCCATAATATCTACCAAACTAGTGTAGCAGGGCCGCCTTTAGAGGAGGCTATGACAAGCGCAGTAGCCCAGCGGGCGCGAGTGCGTCGCTCGCTAGCTGAGCCGTTCACTCTTACTACTCGCCGTGCTGGCGGGCGCACCGCACGGCACGCACTCTTTTGCAGCCGGACCGCACGCGTGAAAGTCGGCACAGCAGCGCATTACTAAAACCACAATTAAATTAGCAGACGACGTCGATGCGCCTGCCTGGCCGTGCCGTGCCGTGCCGTGCCGACGGCGTGCCGTGCCCGCAGCCCAGCCCGGACCTACGAGGGCGGCGTGTTAATTGTTCATCTGAGCTATTTAGAAAGCTAGCTTTCTGCGGCCAGTCAGAACAGAGCAGGCCACGCCATGCCAGGGCGTTCACTCGACGGCCGTCGGTTCGTTCGTTCGTTTTGAAGGTCGATGCAGCGATAGATAGCGAGGCGGGGAGTATGCGCTCGCTCGCGCCGTGGCGGCGCTCTCCACGCCGCGCCGCCGGTCGCACCCCACTGCCCCTCTCTCGCGGTGTGTGCGGAGCGAGTGCAGTGCGGGGAGCAGCGCCCGCGGAGGCAGTCATTCATTTTCGCGAGCTTTCAGGACGGCGCGATGAGGGTGAGGCGGCTCTGGAGAGGAGGAGGTGGTGGGAGGGACACGACGCCAGGCCGGCAACAAATTACTTCAACATGAGTACTATTGCGGTTCAAAACAGTTGCTTTATTGCTGTCGTGACGTTCAGTTCAGGGAGCACATCACCCTCCCGATGAGGTGGTGGGAGGGGAGGGACACGACGCCACGCCGGCAACAAATTACTTCAACATGAGTACGATTGCGGTTCAAAACAGTTGCTTTATTACTGTCGTGACGTTCAGTTCAGGGAGCACAGCACCCTCCCTGTGGCCGCGCTCGGAGCGCTGCGCTGCACTTGTTTCGACTTGTTTGCTCCTCGCTGGTCGTGCGACACACACATACACAACCCCTTGGCTTTGCCTGTCGCTCTGTGACGCCAAGGATACGTACCTAGTAGTCGTTGGCGGGC